ATATTTATTTATATTGTTTTTAAAAAAATTAAAAGATAAAGTTAAATATTTTGTAATAAGATAATTAATTGAAATAAATTAATGATGATATAGTTAAATTAAAAAAATATTTATTTAGCTTAAAAAATAAAAACAACAAATAATTTAGAATAAACTTAAAATTAAAAAATTATTATTATTTTAAAATAAAAAATAACAATATATTATATTTAATTTATAATATCACATATTAATTTACAATGAAACATAAAACTCTTTGCGAAATTAACTCCTTAGGCTTAAATCATCGTAGTCCACGCACCATTTGGTCCGCCCAACTCCTATATAAAAAACCAGAGTCCTCAGTTACTCAGTTCTTCAAAACAAACCCCGATGTCTGAAGCAGAGCACAGTACGCTGCTGTCCGAACAACTTGCGACAACCACCCTGAGCGATGCCGTTCAGAAGCACGAATTCTCGGACCGTGTCCTGATCAGTTCCATCGTCGGTAGACCCGACGGCGGGGAGGGTCTCGCTGGACAGCGGGTCAGAGCTGGCGGGTGGGTCAAGACCGGAAGGGAGCAGGGGAAGGGCACTTTCGCTTTCTTGGAGCTGAACGACGGGTCGTCTCCGGAAAACTTGCAGGTGATTGTGGGCGCTGGCGTTGCTGAACTCAGCCCGCTTGTGGCGACTGGGACTTGCGTGGTTGTTGATGGCGTTTTGAAGGTGCCACCGGATGGCACCAAGCAGAGAATTGAGCTTCAGGTCGACAAGGTGGTTCATGTGGGACCGGTGGATCCGGCAAAGTACCCGTTGCCCAAAACTAAGCTAACTCTTGAGTTTTTGAGGGATTATCTTCATCTTCGCTCCAGGACCAACACGGTATTGATTTGTGACCCTGTCTTATGTTTTTCATTCTGGAGTATTTTTAGAGTCACTTTGGATGGGAGAGCCCGATACCAAGAGCGCCCACCCAGGTTATGGCTGTATAGTTTTAAATAATCCGTACTATACAATGCTCTTTTCATTTTAATATCGTACTAAAAAAAATGTTTTATAAGTTAAATTGCACGCGAAATTTATTAAAATATTTTTAGTGGAATTATTTTTTATATAAATTTATTAGTAGTAATTAAGTAATTTTAATATTCAAATTATACTTTTAATGTATGATTTTACCTATAAAACATTAATTTATTCAAGTTTTGTTTGGAATCGTATATTTGTATTTGATGTGTGAATTTGAAATATTCAAATTATACTTTTAATGTATGATTTTACCTATAAAATATGAATTTATTCAAGTTTTGTTTGGAAACGTATATTTGTATTTGATGTGTGAATTTGAAATATATATATATATATATGTATTTAAAATACATAAATTAAAAATATATGTATTTCAAAATACATTGTTTAGATTAATTTTAAAAAAATGAATTTCAAATAGATGTATATTTAAATATACATCTTTGGATATATTAAAATGTAACATATTTAAAATTGAATTTCTTGTTAAATTAAACCCTCTTTTAATTATCTTGATGAAATACAAAAATTTAAAATTGAAATTCATCAGTTAAAGGATATATTTAAAATACTTGTAATTTTAACTTTAAAATACAAGATTTTAAATATATGTATTTAGATGAAATTCAAATACGTTGCATTTAAGTAAAAACAAATAATGCATTTAAATTTAGAGCTCCAAATTCAAATACACTCTAACCAAATTCAAGTTCCCAAACTTGTCAATAGATTTTCAAAAGGAAAATGATGTGTGCACACCCGGGTCAACACCCGAGTGTGCACACTCCCCATTGAAAAAAAAAAAAACCCATCATCGCCCAGTCCAATTTTTTTTTTTTTATGTGGGGGTGCACACCTGAGTGTTGGATCTGGGTGTGCACCAATCAAGGTCTTTTTCAAAATCCTAACTTCATAGTATTTGTTTTCTTCATTGATGATTTTGTTTTAGCTTACGTATATATTAGTTGTTTTTTTATAGGCTCATGTATATATTAGTAGTTTTTCTTATTAAAATTGGAAACTTTTAATAGTTTTATCATTGTCAATGATCTAAGTAATTTTGTGATAATTTATTTTTATTGTAAATAAGAAGTTTTGAGTTCAACTCATATAGCATACGGGTAAGTTAGGTAAGGAATTGGAGATTGTTATTTTTCATTGTGCAATTAAAATAGAAAAAAAGTTTTACTAATTGAAGTAATTATTGTAGTTATAATGCCACACATTTCCTTTCGGAAAAAGGAAAAAATTAAGACATTCTACATTTTCTTAATATTAAAAATGTCTTGATATCTAGTTACAATTATTAAATATGTAAACTATTAAAAATGTCATGACATTGAATTACAATAATTAAGTATGCAAAATCCAATGAGAATCCTAACTTTATCAAATTCATGATTCATCATGTAGATATTATTAAATGTCATGACATTTTTAATGTCAAGACATCCTTATTTTCCTTTTTCTCTTTGGTTTTGTTATATGAAAATGATTGGTATACCCTCGGTTCAACACATTTTTTTGCACACTTTTACTTTAGTCATTAAAAATATAATATAAATACAATCAATTCAATCGATTCATGTATCTTGTGTTTATGATTGTATTATTAAACTTGTTTGTCTTTCATTTCAAATTAAAAAATAATAATTTTTTAATAAATGTATCATGCAATGTGTTGAATCAAAGTGTGTGCCAATCAATGTCCTTGTTATATACTGTTTATATATTTTGATATTGTGTATCAATTCAGATATCTTCAGTTGCTCGTATTCGAAATGCTCTTGCTTTTGCAACTCACTGTTTTTTTCAAGAACATGGGTTTCTTTATGTGCACACGCCAATTATAACAACCAGTGACTGTGAGGGTGCTGGAGAAATGTTTCAAGTTACAACCTTGATTACTGATTCTCAGAAGCTGGGGAAGGATCTCATTAAGAATGGCAAGATTGATTACAGTCAAGATTTCTTTGCTCGTCAAGCATTTTTGACAGTCTCTGGCCAGCTACAGGTAGAAACATATGCGTGCGCTGTTAGCAATGTGTATACATTTGGGCCAACATTTCGGGCTGAAAACTCACACACTTCAAGGCATTTAGCAGAATTCTGGATGGTGGAGCCTGAAATAGCTTTTGCAGATCTTCAGGTATGTATAAATGTCTTACAAGTTTTTAAAAGTCTATGAAGCCTCTTTTCTTAATCTTTTCGTTTGTTGGGTTTATCATCTGAGATTGATATTTTTGTAGGATGATATGAACTGTGCTGAGGCTTACGTGAAGTACATGTGTCAGTGGTTACTTGACAAATGCCTCGATGATATGGAATTTATGGCCAAAAATTATGATAAAAGTTGCATTGAGAGACTAAAATTGGTTGCCTCGACTCCCTTTGGACGTATATCGTACACGGAAGCAATTGAACTGCTGGAGGATGCTATAAAAGGTGGGAAGAAGTTTGAGAATGACGTAGAATGGGGGATTGATCTCTCATCTGAGCATGAAAGGTTTGTATGTCTGCCTTACTTCTGTGCTCCTTCTGCATGAACAGAATCATGGATGTTCATATTTTGGTTTGGTTGATTGTGCAGATTTTTGACAGAGGTGAAATTTCAGAAGCCAGTAATTGTTTATAATTACCCAAAACGAATCAAAGCATTCTACATGAGACTCAATGATGACTCAAAGACTGTTGCTGCCATGGATGTCCTTGTGCCAAAGGTAGGCTGTTTTTCACTGAAAGCATTAGGCTGTGCCTCTGGCTATACTTCTCTCATATTCAACTA